TGTGAAAAGAGCAATAACCAAATGGCTTAGGCCATCTAGTCGCCACAAAAAGTATTGCGTGTTAAATGTGCGCTTCACCAGTGTGGTTCTGTGATTTTAGCACCCGACTTATGGAAAAAATCCCGTCGACATGACACTCTATTTTTATGACTTGAAAACTAAAAAAAACTACCACAATAAAATAATCTAAGCACATCATATCATAAATTACTAACTTATAAAATAAACATTTCATGGCGAGACAGTATTTCCCCTTTTGAATAGGAAAAAAAATGAAATTAGTCATGGGTTCACCGCGTTTGGGGGGCCTCCTCGTCCGACCCAAAAAACTCGGTCACTCGGTCAACCCACTTCAGAGCTCTTCGAAAATCATATTTTCATCCCAACAATTCCAATCTTGCACAAGGAGTTCGTCAACAGTCTCACCCCTCAGCCGACATGAGCTCAGTTTTGATTTTTTTGAATAGTTTTTAACAGCATTTAACATTTACTTTTAATACTACACTTCTTACATAGCGACAGCTATTAACAACATGTTAATTTACGATTCTTGAAGAAGTGAGGATTGGACGGTAAAAATAGCGCTTTAGTTGCTGTTCCAACTCGCTTTTATGTTTCCACTGAATATTAATTTGAATCGAGTTCTTTTCGAAATTGATGAAAAACACAATCGTACCTCAATAAGACCATCGGCATCGACGGCGGTACCGCTCATGTTGTACCCTTAAAAGGCTATTGATTGCGAAATCAGGACTATTTGACCAACACCAAACCGGAGAGGATCATAAAAGAAACACAATGAAGTGATAGCTCCAGGCAAGTTTATACAACTACATGTTCCACAAATTCACAACTACGAATCCTTTCAAAAACCAATTCCATGTATGAAGAATCTTTCTAGGACTCATTCGCACGCCGAGCATGAATCCCACGGCCACCCATGAGGAGAAAACACATTTACCAACTGCCGAGATAAGCAGGCAATCAATAAGACCGTCCCCGGGACGCAACACGAACGTAGGCAATCACCGAGCGAAATTTGGGAGCCGACTGGGACAAAACATGAAAACATGAATAAAAATGAACAACGCACCAGCGGACGACTTGTGCGCGCATGTCGACGTGTTCAAAACTCGTCCAGTCAAGTTGGCTGGCCGCCAAACTTTTCGCCGCGCGAGCGTCTATCGAAAAAAGGGTTGTGGACGTCTCTTTTTCGAATATCTTCAGTGATTGCCCTATTTCTCCCTCTGATTGTTTCGGTCGCCTTTTCACCACCGCTTTAGTGCCTTCCCCACTCTTTCGTCACTGAATTCCTCGATAGTGTTCTGTAAATTTCTCAGTTGTTCAATTGTTTTGAAAGACTGTTTACACTGGAAATACGAGAGTTGATCACCACGGAAGCATGTGTATTGATTTCAATGCACTTTTTCTGGATAGATTTTTTACTGGTTATTTGCTTGTTGCAGACAGATTCTCCCAAAGCCGTATTGATCACGGCCGGAGTGCTATTTTCTCCTTCGACACGAACCTAAGCGAAACTTACGTTTTGTAGCCTTGTGTACGATAATCCGCAAAAGAATCCGGTACTTTTCGACCAGACAGCTCGCGATTCTTTTTTCTACTTTTCCCGGTCTATATATATCGTTTTACTTGCGCAGACTGCCCGGTTCATCGTTCTAGAGAATCTCCCATCTTTCGACCGGTATATAACTCATCTATTGCGCAGATTCCCAGACTCTCGAAAGGCCGCTTTTTGGCGCAGCTTGCGCAGACTCTGGTTGTCTCTACTCTTATGAAGCTGAGCTTCTAGGTAGGAACGGGACCTAGACTCACCGCCTCCGAACTGCCCCTATAAAACAACCCTACGCTAAGTTCAAATGAAGCTTTGCTATTTGCGGGATATGGATTGTACCATTATCCTCTCCCGATTTTTCCCAAAACTCTACTGTCGGGTCGGGCATAGCGCACATGCAACGCGGAAAATCAACAGTCAAAGGAATCATATCAGCATGTTTACGATTCTCCCCCCGCCCCCTCCCCGCACCCATCCCCCTGATGCGGTCCACACAACGGTGATGTACACTGATAATCTTACAAACTGTTCGTTCTTTTCATGCAAATGCTTCCCACCTGTTGCGGTCGCTGGCGATGCGTCAAGAATGAGATCTGCTCGTTTCGTTCCCGTCGCTTGCGTGTGTTACAGTGCTCAGGTCGATTATCAATAGTTGCCCAGTAATAGGATATGGATAGAGGACGTGGATATCGACACTTATATAACTGAAGGGAATTTACCCTATTATGTGGTACGGCACGCGTTTCACAAATCCTCCGCAGAACCGGTATTATCTGCCGATGATCGATAAAATGATCAGTGGAGATAAGCAGTGTTGGCTGATTCAGCTTATCTAGTTTTTATCACAGATTAAGAAATTTGTAGTCTCCGTGTTATACCTTGTTGGAACCCTGGCTACTGATTTTCTTTTTCCATCAACGACGGTTTTGGAAGAAAACTTTATTTGGCCTGACGTACCCCTCAGTCGTTCTGTTCGAGTGCGCGCTTGGTTGAACTTTTTACTAATTAGTAGCTTTGAACTATCTCCACGTCTTTGAAGAAGGCGAAGCGGTCAAAAATTCAGGCCAAATAAAGGTTTCGTCTGAAAACCTCGTTTGGCAGAACGAGAAATTCTTCACCTGGTTTCACCTTGTCGTGACCGTGGAGCTTGAAGGCAAAGACCGCGATTATTCGCCATCATGCATACTGGATTAGGAATTTGCATATAGGTGACAAAGTGCTGAGTAACTTGATAGTGAAGAAAAAATCAGCAGGAACATGCTAACTGCCCTAAATAGGACCCCATCTCAATTCCAGCTCTTACGTGCCCAGTTGACTCCATCTCCACACTACGCCCCATCCGCACAGCTGATTCCCCGATAAGAACTCTACGACCGTACAAGTGACGATTTTCATGCTTTTTCGTCCTGCAGCTTCGTTTTTTTTCTGAAAGGCGGGCCTTCGAAGGCGGAGTCACTGGAAAAAGGAGGCGTCACTGAACCTATATTGCGCTACAGCGCCCCTCCCTTACAATTTTTTGCCGCGAAACCGGTACAAGGTTGTTCGTCGCAGACCACACTACCCTCCCGACGCTCATTTTCAGCTTCTATACGTGATCGCGGACCGTGCATTTGAGTTGATGCACTCGTTCTTGCTTATAGAAGGCCACCATTTCACCTCTTACCTAGAGTGTTGAGGGATCAACACGGTATATCTGGTCTATGATTTTTTTGCTTCACGAGATCAGAGGAGCAAGGGTTGGCTATACCATCTTGCAGTGTAGTATGTCTACCGTGAAAGACGGCACTGCCGCGTCTCTTCCCCCGTACTATGTTACCTTTAGGACTACTCGTGAAAGAATTGAATTTCACCTGTTGGGAATCGCGGAATGTGTATTTAAATCCCCATGTAGCCATAATCTGAGAGCCTCAGTATGACTACGTATACAAAACTTATCGCACATGTAATACCTTCCAAACAGGACGTGACCGGTCTTTTTACTTCATATTAAATCGCTCTAGTGCAAGCATTTTCGCTGGTAGTTCGTCTTTTTGCACTGAACAGGTCCATTGATCGGTGCCGAACGCAATATTACGTCTAGATCTGCTACTTCTCAGTTACTTTTTGCTTGTTTTAAGGATGTCCGACTACGATAAATATGCCGAACAATTGCGGCATCCTGATAATCCCATTGTATTTATGGAAATGACGGCGGGTGGTGCCCCACTTGGCACGATAGTGGTGAGTAAACCCTTCGCATTCGATTACGTATTTGTAACTACTATTTTATTTGTATTGTAGATGGAATTGTTTGCGGATGTTACCCCTAGGACTGCCGAAAACTTCCGCCAATTTTGCACTGGAGAATTTCGTAAAGATGGTGTACCTGTTGGGTATAAGAATAGCCAGTTCCATCGAGTCATCAAGGACTTTATGATTCAAGGAGGGGACTTTGTAAACGTAAGTTTGAGACAATCGTTCTTGCCTTCTGTGATATTTGATCCCCGTTTTGCTCTAGTCTATTTTTAGGGTGACGGTACCGGAATGATGAGCATATATGGAGCGAAGTTTCGAGACGAAAACTTTATCCTTGAGCACAGTGGCCCGGGAATCCTTTCCATGGTAGGTGCCATTCACATTCGGACCTTGTTCTATGAAGGCGGCTAGTTGTATTTCCTGTAAGCAGAAGTTAGTATGTAACACTCATTGCGAAATGTTCCCAATTGATAGGAAATATGTTATGACTGCCGGCGGTTTCTCTATCAGGCTCTTCTGAAAGTTCGTGACAGTGTCCCGGAGTTGCTTCAACGTCGATGTGCAACTGCTGTTTTCGTATCCGAAACAAAAGATGAAAATCATCACTTTCTCCGCGCTTCGCCATGAATCTCGGCTGGATCAGAAAGGTGGATGGTAGAGCCATGCTCGACATTTGTTCTGACTTAGGTTCTGAAGGTGGAGCCATGCTCGACATTTGTTCTGACTTAGGTTCTGAAGCTATCTGTCGCTGTACGACATCGAAATGGGATGATCGAACCTCATCCAAGGAGCTCATCTGCCTTAATAGGCCCTGCTGCAGGCATTGAACTGAATCAGTTCACACGGTTCATTTCGCTCCCTAGCTGCTATACTTGGCTCTTCTCAAAGCATAAATGACCGTGCTTATCACTCCCTCGTGAAATATTGATGTTTAATTATAGTTCTACTTCAAAGGATTCTCCATGACTGACTCTCAAAGGAGAACGTCTGTGAGTACAACTCCACCTCCTACTTCACCATCTGGGTGAACGAACTAACTGGAGGCATAAGAATTCTCTCTGTGTAGACCTTTCTGCAAGCGCCAGTAACTAAGTCCATCGGGAAGATCAGAGGCGGTTTAGATCTAATCAATTCTGTAGAAAGGTACTGCTGTACGTATGGTGTGCCGGTCAGGGAGTTAACCATAAAAAACATTTTCTTTTCCAGCGCCGTCGTTACCAGCGAGCGCTACCGCTATCAGCTGCGAAAGAGCTAGAAAATTTGTACGATCGTCTCCCCCACTCCCAATCTTAGCATCGTAAATAAAGCTTCTGGAAGCGAGGTTGTAACTTTTTGCTGTGGTTGATGGCAACAAGTTGCCGGATGATAGCTCGTATAATGTTCATCGATATTCCTTTTTTTGAATAAGTTCGACTCACAGGGAAAGTTTGAAAATTTTCGCTGGTCATGAGGGCACTCTAACCAGTCGCAGCAAAAAAAAGGAGTCCTCGTTCATTAAATTCTAGGAATTGTCAGGTTGCAGAAGAAAGTTCTCAAGAAAGAGGGCTAAATGATGAGTTTGCCATATTGCGTAAAACGATCATAATGATCATGAATTATCATATCCTTTCACGTGACACGACCCCTAAACTCTCTCGCCCTAGTTGCAGTAGCAAGGGCTACTGCATAGATGGTGTAGCTCATTTGAGCTAGAAGAATTCAGCGATCTCTGAGCTTATATCATCAACTAGTTGAGCACGTGAGAACTGAAACTGAACAAGATTCTACAAATTTCTTATCGCGAACTGCGATGGAGAACAGCTATCATCATATTTTTTTTCTGTTTAGGCTAACGCAGGAACTGATACGAATGGATGTCAATTCTTCATTACATGTGCGAAAACAGACTTTCTAGATAAGAAGCATGTTGTGTTTGGTTAGTTTTCTTTTCCTTATCGTCTTGCTATTATTCTCTATTTGTACCGTAATTTCTAGTGCCACATCTGGCTCAGGGTCCTAGGCTGTAACGGGAATTGGAACAGTGCTAAAAAGTGTTTTACCATGTTGCTCCGGGTCGAACCCAGAAGCATTGGCGTTGAATAAATTGTGCTTCTGATTTGTTGTACACTGCTGCGAATTACTCTTCGTCACTGCAATTTACACTAAAACCGCAAAAATGCCACGTTGAAAAATGCCGATTAGTGCAACCAGTTGGTCCTGGAATTCATGCTATCCAGGTAACTGTGCTATCCATCACTACATGTTAGGTATTAGCCCACTTCCCCAAAAATTGTGTGGTCAGGTTCAAGTCGTGGCTGGTGGTGAGCGTTTTTATTAAAAAGTATTCCTGTAATTGCGCTCTTCCTGTATTCGTGACTGAAGAGCCGAACAAAGCCAGGGAGGGAAAGCTTCCTGTTTTCTCCTTTGTATCAGCAAGAGAAAGTATGCCAGATGATGTCGCTTTGACTGCTACGCCGAGATTAAAAGGTTATGAATAATGCTCATTTCAATTTTCAGGACGAGTACTCGATGGGTTGCTGACTGTTCGCAAGATTGAGAATGTTCAAACGGGTGCTAACAACAAGCCAAAAATCCCGATTTTGGTTGCCCAGTGTGGACAGTTGTAGCAGATCATTTACGGTTTATGTCATTCCATGTTTATGTAAATAAATGTCCCATTCGTTTTACTGAGTCATCGCATGCCGGTATCGCACCTGTCATACTGTATATCCTTTAGTGACCGTCCTCTTTAAACTATTTACGCTCCTTGTTCAGTCATTTTTAGATAATCCTTTTTATGCAATAAATGGAAGGAGCGGGACCTTCGGAGGACTTTCAATTCAAGGTCCTTACGGATTTTGGGTCTCAGGCATTTCGCGCTCTAATTTTTTCTGCTCCAGGTTGTCTTACTTGGTGAAGGCGCTGTAGGAA